GAGTAATTGTGGACTTCAAACACTTGCTCAACTTGCCTAACCCAATCCAAGTAAGATTCAGGGTCATTTTTCCCATGAAAGGTAGGCATCTTAGTCTTGATGGAATCAAGATTGTCATCGGTTCTTCTAGGTCGGTCTCGACCTTCCCTCGCTCCTCCTTGACTTTTCCTTGATCGAAAGGAGGTGTTAGAATGATATCCCTCATCATCTGTATCATGATCAACACTCTGAACACTCGAAACCCTATGGTGTGTATCTCCGGTACCTCGCATCTCAATGGCAGCCAACCTGTCGGATATCTGTGTCATCGCAAATTCATGTCTCTCCGCTTGTTTTTGTAGAGCTTGGAGCACCAGTTTGAGTGACACGTCGGTCTCAGACGGCTCAGACATGTTCCCCTCTTGAGACATATTGTCCAACCTGCAAAACAAGTGTATCCTAGTCTACCTTACAAGCACTCGTGTATCACTCAAGGAAACACACTCACTCTCAATTTTCCTTCTCGAAATTCTTAAAACAGCTCAAACTCTCAAAAATTCCAGAATTAAAGACTCTATAAGCATGTAACAAGACACAAAGCAGAATTTTGCAAATCTTAGAAAAACTCTACCCGAATCTGAAACTTTTTTTTTAAGCTGTTGTTTTGCTGAGTTTCTGGTCAGTACTTTGGAGGGTAAATGGTGCTTCTGGAGTGCTCAAATAATGTATGAATCAGTCCTCAAATTTCAGGGAAATCGGCTCGCAAAGACTAGCTCAATCGATTTTAGAAACCCAAGAATTTAAAGGCGGTTTGGCTAAGGTGTTTGTGACGGTTTAGATTTGGTTTTGGAAATTGATTTGGGGGTGTTTGGGGTCTGGTTAGGTCGCTTGGGGTTGTTGGAATTCAATTAAGATTGGGAACTCAAGAATTGAAAACCAATCAAGATTTGGCGACTCAAATTTTGGGAAACCAATCAAGATTTGGAGACTAATCAAGAATTGGAAACCAATCAAGAATTGGAAACTCAAGATTTGGGATACTTGATTTCCTTTGTGTGAGAGCCGATTCCTTCTCTTCTTCATTTTTTTTTTTGTTCTCTTTTTTTTTTTTTTGCTTCGGCTCTTCAAGGAACACAAATTCAGGTCACACCAACAAGTTCAAGAAAATGGATGAAAGGTTATGCAAATTCCAAGAAGACCCTAGTTCTTGATTTATTGTTCAAGAACGTTCAAAACAAGAATTCGTGGTCCAAGAACTTCAAGAATTTGTTCAAGAAGCTCAAGAACTTTCCCAAATTACGTTGTGGTGTTTAGGGTTTGCAAGAACAACAACCAATACTCAAGAAATAGACAAAACAGAATTTCAGCAATACTCAAAAGAAAATTCCAGCAATACTCTAGCAACTTGGATACTAAAACAATATAAGGTACATGACTCTTTTTTTTTTTTTTTTTGTCTTTAAACCTTAACAACCCAAACACAAGTATAACAAACCCAAGAATTTGGATAGAAAACACAAAAAGACAACACCCAAACAGATTTTTTTTTTGACTTGGGTGAACAGTAACGTGAACAGTACGCTACAGTACGATGAACAGTAATTCGGTACAAGTAACGATGAACAGTAATCGCTACAGTACGATGAGCAGTAATTGCTATAGTAATTTTTTTTTGACTAAAGACACAAACTAACAAGATATGAACAATTTCAATTAAAAGAGAATTAATCTGATGCTCTGATTACCAACTGATGAGTAACCCTAGGGGAAGACCCTCCTAGAACCTCCCAACCTTATAATTATCAGAGTTGGATCTTTTCTCCCAACAGAAATTGAACTTGATTGTTCTCATGAACTCAAGACCTCTGACACACAAACGTAATCAGCAACCTTAAGCAAATAAGGATGGATGAAGCGACACCACGATTAGGGAACAAGCCAATCGATAAAGTCTGATTTGAATCCTAAGTTATGAACTCAAGAATTCAAGAGTAAGTTCGATTAAGAACTTGAAGGAAAATTCCTCACGATTTCTGGTTGTAATAATCTCTCCTTTCGCTCATACAATAGGTGTCTTTTATAGGCTAAAATTAGGGCAAATCCGGCCCACATAAACCTGGAATAGGAATTCGGGCCGCATAAAGAGCCAGCTCTTTATGGCTTCCCGATAAGGCCCAATAATTAATAAAATCGACTAAAAGGATTAAAACTAGAGGACAACATGTCCTTTGTGCGATTATCCAACTACTAAACTAGACAGCTTTAAACAACTACTAATTAAGCTAACAAGCATGAGATCATTCTTTCACTTCAAACGTACAAGTGAACAAGGTAACTTCATGGTCCATCAAATCTTCAAACTTAGCTTGCTCTTTGCTTGTATGGTGAATGATCAAGGCTCGTAAAGTTTCCTTCACCTTCTTGGATCTTGATCTTCTCATCGGGCCGCCAATGTGGACCAAAGGATCCTTGACCCAAGGTTGAAGTTATTGCACACCCGCCCCAAGGTTGGTAGGGTTGCTCATCAATTGCTTTATGGGGAAAAGAACAAAACAAAGATAAAATTGGAAGGCTTCAAGCCAGTAGGTAGAGGTGACCATGGTTCAAATTTGAATCGGAATCGGATTGAAACTGAACTGGCGATTTGTTGAACTGAAATCGGAACCGAATTTTGAAAATCGAAACTAGAACTATATCAGTGACTAAAGATTTAGGTTTAGATTCATAAAAAACTTGAATTGGAACTGGAACTGGCGGTTTAGGACCAGTTCAAACCATCTAAAAAATATTTGCTACCTAAACCTGTTTAGCCAGTTTAAAGTTCAATATCAATAGTCATCATCTAATACCAACAGTTCCAATTCTAACCAACAACCCATTGTCCCATTCTATTGGTAAGTCTAAACTCTATAACTCATCTAAATCCAAAATCAATCCAATCTAATCAATATATAAAATTTGCATCATTTTTCTTTTTCTTTGCATAAGATAATACAATAAAGTTTTTTGCTACATTCAATGTCATAGTTTCTTAGAATCAATTTTATAACAATAAGTGTTTAAGTATGACTAAAAGAATTAGAACCGTAATCAAAGGAAACCGGAACCATAACTGGAATAAAATTGAAACAAAATCAAATCGAAACTGAAGGTTCAAGAACCATAATCATAACCATCCCTATAAGTGGTGGTTAGGTTCTACTTTTGAAAAAAGCTGAAATCGTCAATTTTTAAACTACAATGATAGTTCTAGAACCGTGACCGTATCTACTGCTAGGTAGAGTCGAAAATCACTAGTGGGCTTTTTGGATACAAATTTTATTTGAAAAAAATGCTTACATCATAAACATATTTTTTATCAGCTTTTTATATTTTCAACCAGTTTTCGATATCACATACATCACATCATCAAAAAATAATATTTTTATCTAAATAATATTTTCAAATAATCTCCTATCCAAACATTTATTTTGATAGAAATTTGTTTGTAAAAAAAATTATTTATATTATAGACATATTTTTCAGTCACCTTTTTATATTCCGAACAACTTTTTTAATCCCACATGTATCGCATCATAAATAAATGTTACATTATTATTCTATATAATATTTTCAATGATCTACTATCCAAACATTGAATTGATTAGGAAGTTGTCCCCTTGTACGCAATTTAGTTCTCTATTCTTCATGAAATAAAGTGATTTTTTTGTGCAAAAAAAAAGTTAGAGTTGAAAGGTTGAGTGATAAAAGAGAAGAGATGAATATATCATATTGTTTAAGCGATTGACATTTCTTTTTAGCTATTTTAGAAAATTCTTGTAGTATAGATTATGTTAGATTTTCAAAAATTTTTACAAATACTTGTACTGGTACTTGAAATTTGATTGGAGACAGAATGTCCTTTAAATTTCTATATTATGAGGGAAGGGGTTAAAAAATGGATGAGGGCGCACAAAAGTAGCGTTTAGAAAATTAGATTGAATCGGTTAGTTCGATTAGTCAAACGATGAATCAGTTATGACACTGGTCCGATTCACTAGTCAACCCACAAATCAATTGAACTAGTCAAACTCGATCAAGAGTCGGTCGAATCAGTTAAAAAGCGGGCTTTTGAATCAATTCATACTAATTTTTTTTTCAAATTTTAAAGTCATTCAATGTACATAATAAATATAAAAAAGAAAAACATTTGAACCAAGCTAAATCGGTTGAACCGATTTGATCGTGAACCAGAAGTTCATTCGGTTTTGTAAATGGTCTGAATTTAAAAACATTGCACAAAACCATTCCAAACTCAAAAAAGAATTTGAAAAAATCTGTAACAAGAGATATAAAGCCAGATTGTAGGCAAGTGATACACCCAATGCTAACTCTAAATGATCTTTATTAACAAAATACTTAGTTTTTCTTTTTATTTACATACCAAAAGTGAGTTATATAAAAGTTTTGCACTATCTTCCCCAGCACAGTTTAACAGTTAAGGTGCATTAATCGGGGAATCATGAAAACTTCGTTCCAAGAGTCAAACTTTTTTCTTTTTTGTTTCTTTCTTTCTTTCTTTCCTTGTAAGGTTTAGAGTGCCACTTGAACCGATGAATTTTACATCATCTAAACTTCCTGCAAGAGTCGCATGGCTTCCTAAGATAAAACTACAAGACAAAAAAGTTATCACAAGACTTGTACTTGGAACAACACCAAAATTGCTTCCTAAGATAGCAAGAAAGGAAAAGGTATCACATGACTCGTACTTATAACAACACGTTTAAGCTCCAAGACTTAGAATTTTTGTCCTCCAAAACCACAACTTTCCCCGTTAATTTTCATCTCTAGCGATCCATCCCTTGTCAAATGGCCAAAATCATGTCAATTTTCTTTAATTCCCATATTTTTCTGCCTTCTTCCTTGAGGGCATGTTAGCTAATGAGAAACTTGACCGACTTCAAGTAATTATCTAATATTAAGTCAATATACACAACACTCTAAGGTGGTGGATTTTGCAGGTGCATTTGGACAATGCAAAGATGAAAGATCCAGTAGTGTTGCAAGGGATTCTCCATCGTCACTGCCGATCTTCCCTGGCTACATTGTTCTTAGTCATTCTGTGCACTGTTGCTTTCGTCCTGGCACGCTTGCTGGACTCCAGTGTAATTGTTATTTTAACTATTTTGTCCTCACTATTCATCTATTTCTCCATGCTTAAATTTCAATCATGTGGACTGGATCTCACACAGAGTGGGTATTTATCAAATTTTCCAGTTTTCAACCCTAAAATTTCTTGGTTTGTTTTATATCATTTTTTCAAAAGAAATTTAATTTTTATGACATTTTAAGATTTCACATGATTGTTAGAATAAGTATTCTAAAATTGAATTTGTTTAGCAGAAGTGGAAGTAAGATTGTATCAATTTTTCTTGAAAATCCGTCCACTGGTCCATAAAAAGAATACCTCTATTTTACGTGCTTCCGATGTACCACTGTCTCAAATGTTTCAATATACTGAGAAGTGATTAGTTGAATTTGGGAGTGGCTAAATTCACACCCCTTCATTTTGAATCTACACTTTTCATTTCTTGATGACTTGTGTTATTAGCATTTAATTAATACACACTATGAATTTAAACCTTCCCTCTATATATACACACACACACACATACATATATATATATATATAGACACACACACCATCTAAATCCACACTCCTAATACATTAATATCTTGTTCCATGAGCATTGATCACTTATATTATTAGTATTAAAAGTTGTACCAAGTATGAATTTAAGATACATAGAGGGGTGTGAATTTAGCCCCTCCATATATATATATATATATTGTATTATTGTATTCTATATTCAAACACCTTTTTATTTTACATAAATCATACCAAAAAATACGACAATATTGTTCTGAAAGTAGATTTTCAAATAATTTTTAATCCAAATACACAACTCAAATGTGAGTGTTAATGTAAAATCTTAAGAATTTGTCCAATGAAACTCAAAGATCACACTCAACTTGGGACTGTATCAGTATATTCACTAATCATACCAAAACCAGTTCCATCAAATTAATAAGAAGTTTTCATATGATAGCTGTCCGTGAATCTCCAAATAATACTCAAGTCACCTGAAAAAATACGAACATCCCATGCATAAATATAAACTGATAATACTTCACTTTATTGATATACATTTGTAAGTCATAAAAATCGCTGGTAATTACTATTCTTTGTTTTTTTCTTTGACTTCTAATGTTTTGCATCTCGTAATCTGAACATACATTTCAGTCAAATTTTCCAGGAAATTACTCGCCAAAATCAATATTCGCTGGCATCACATTTCCTAAATACCCTCTTCTTCACGACCCTTGGAAAAATCCCAAGAGGAATCCCATTGAAATCCCGATGACTTGCTCACACACTAACAGTACTGTACAAATTACTTGCCCCACAAGCTACTATCCACTAAAGTTTTCAAAATCAGACGAAAATTTAGATTCAGACCCAGACCCAGACCCAGATGCGGCACTGCAACCCACCTGCCCTGATTACTTCCGTTGGATCCACGAAGATCTTTGGCCATGGAGGGAGACAGGAATCACATTAGGCATGGTGGAGGCAGCTAAAAGAACAGCTAGCTTCCGACTGGTAGTAGTTAATGGGACAGTTTACGTGGAGACTTACCGGAGGTCATTTCAGACTCGAGATGTTTTCACGCAATGGGGAATTTTACAGTTGCTACGGTTGTACCCGGGTAGATTACCTGATTTGGATATGATAATCAGCTGCGCCGACCAGCCGACTGTGGTAAAACAGTTTTATCCCAATCCAAATGCCTCGGCTCCACCAGCCCTGTTTAGCTATGATGGAGATGATGCCACCTTTGACATTGTTTTTCCGGATTGGTCATTTTGGGGATGGTAAGCATTTTCATTGTTAATTTAGTTCGATGGCTTCCTTGGCTCGAGGAGATATATTAAGTTGCTTTTGAATTTGTTACAAAAGTTAAAGACAAACTTCTTTCAAATTAAAGTGGTTAATGATGAAGGAAGGGCAAGGTTAAGGGTTGGATTTGGTTATAATAATAGTGTCCTAATTTTTACACGTTCTACAAAATAGGTTATAATAACACGATTGAAAATTCATAATCTATCGAACAAGTATATCGTTCGAGACAGATTATGACTGATAATCATTTTGTTCTATCATAATGACCTGTTTAAGTTACAGTTTTAGAAATGAAAAGTCGTAAGAGTTACTTGATATAGCGAGATAATTTATGTTCATAACTATACATAGAAAGTATGACAACATTAGTACAAGGGATTTACTAATTATGGACCTAGCAATCCACTTACATGATTATTTTGCTTCTTATTCTCTCTTTGTCAAGGGTGTAAAAAAGTCTAATCAAATATAACACCATAATATTCAAGTTTGTTTGATTATTTTAACGAGTTTGAAATTTGTTCAAACTTGATTTGTTTTTTGGCTAAATCAAGTTTGATCAAGTTTTTTTTTATCAAATTTAAATATTATCGAATATAAAATATTGTTCAATTTTGACTTGACTAGTTGGTGAGCCAAATTTGAATGATCTCTTACTAAACTAAGTTCTATTCGAATATCAAATAATTTGGTTCATTTTTCAATTTTGTTCTTTGTTTGGTAATGACATGTAAAAGAAACGAGACATGTTATTATATATATATATATATATATATATATATATAGGCTCTTTGTATATATTTTATCTATATATATTTTATATATTTTTCAATAGCTAGGCCTGAAATTGCTATAAAGCCATGGGAGCAATTGTCGAAGGACTTGAAAGAAGGGAACGAGCGGATGCAATGGGTGGACAAGGAGCCGCAGGCATATTGGAAGGGCAACGCTAAACTTACGCTTTCAAGGAAGGATTTGCTTAGGTGCAATGTTTCGGGCAAACAAGACTGGAATGCTCGTATCTACCAACAGGTGTAGCTTTATTGCACGCCCACTCTTTTTTTTTTTTTTTTGAGGCAATGATAGATGCACAATAAGATGCTTTTGATTTTTTCTTTTTATTTCTAATAGGACATATACGCATATGATATGAAATTTTATTTCTTCCGTCTCACTAAAAATTTTATACTTTTTATTTTAAAATATTTCAAAATATTTGTCATATTGAGAAAATCAAGATACTTTTTTGTCTTTCTTTCCAATATAGTCTCTCCCTTTGATTATATGTATGTTATTATTTAAATTCAAATTTTAAATCTGTAGGGGTAAAATTGAAAAGATAAACACAAATATTGCAATCAAATCACTATTTTTAAAATGTTAAGTTCTCGAAACATGATAAAATAATTAGGACGGAGGGAATAATACAAACTCGTCTATGTGAACTGTGTTTTAGAAGAATATGACCTCACAAAGGGGTTCAGGTGGAGTCTAGCAGCAACCGCACCGTGCAATGACAGTCCCAATTTGGTCTGTTGATCTCAAATCAGATTTTGATTATTGGCCTAGATTGAGTCCGACTCCTTCGGTCCAATTTGGGGCTGTTCATTGCATGGTGCGGCTGCAAAAGCAATGGTAGGTATCAAAATCCTATTATGTGAGACATAATATACATGGATTACGTCTATATCAAAACCTGCAGATTGAGAAGGATATCATATCGATTTTTTTGTTTTTTGGGGTTTCTTTTCCTTCCTTGTATAGTAAAAGACTGTAATATTCTTTTGGGCTAGAGGTCTAGATGTACAACAATAATGTTATGCAATTATAGGATTATGAGAACAATAATTGATATATTTTTTTTGACAATAATAAAAGTACATGAACAATAATCCCATCCTTTTTTTTTCTCTATAATAAAAAGAACACGAGTCGGTGAAACCTTAACTTAGTGGCCAAAAATTAGAACTTCTAGGTTTAAGTTTATGTTAACGTTGTAGATTGCTTCTAATTGTACGCTTATGCTAATTCCACTATTTGTGTGTTAATTTGTGGTCGTGTTGAGTTGTAATTTCTCCCACTATTTTGGGTTTCTCTTATAATCTTATCAAAAGATAAAAGTAATCATATTATAATAACAAGAACACGAGTACAAAAACCCACTTTTTTTTTTTGTTTTTTGTTTAAATCCTAGCCTTAATAATACAAGTAAAAAAATCTATATGTACGATGAGACAACTAACTTACAAACTTGTGAAGTTAGAAACCAAGACTTTTTAACCACACAAATCAATCAAACTTAACTTTAATTTACCATTAAATCAAAGGTCCTTAGCGTACATTACCCTATTAGGTTGGAATATATCATAGCCTGGCTCATTTGATGACTTACCAATAGACCATGGACTCCTAAGTATTGAAAGTAAGTTTCACCTAATTTAATCACCTTCACAAGCTTTTCATCTTAATGTTAATCTAATTAATTCTCTTACTTTGCTCCTTTAATTCATGATCATTTAGCAAAAGCAGCCAGTTGAATCGGAGGCACAAAACCAAACTCTCATAATTTATTGTTAATTAGCAGGACTGGCACAGTGAAGAACGACAAGATTTCAAAAACTCCAACTTAGCCAACCAATGCATTCACAGGTACAGAACAAGTAAATTATCTTGCATTATATTTATTTTTGCTTAACCTGCATTGGGCTTTGATGAATAAACTTTGATTTGATTCCAACCTTTGCATGAATGACACAGATTTAAGATATATATTGAAGGATTTGGGTGGTCCGTTAGTCAAAAGTACATTCTTGCTTGTGATTCTGTTACTTTAATGGTCAAGCCACGTTACTACGAATTCTTCTCAAGAAGTTTGATACCTTTGCAACACTATTGGCCCATAAGAGATATAAACAAGTGCAGATCAATCAAGTATGCTGTTGAATGGGGCAATAACCATCAGGAAGAGGTAGTAAATTGATCATGTAGTACCACTTTGAGCTTTCAATTGAAGATTAATTAATTGAGAAATTGTTTTGCACTATGCACTGTAACAATTTTTGTGATATCATACACGTGAGATGAAAAGGTAACTAAGGCAATTGTTTAGAGAGGATTATAATTTTTTTTTCCTGAATAGAAAGTTAAATAGAACAAAATTTTCGATGCCGGCTTATCAATGTATGCAAGAAATTTTACTTTTATCAATTAAGATCTTGCTTCACATCACAGGCACAGGCCATTGGCAAAGCAGCGAGTAGATTTGTTCAAGAGGAACTGCAAATGAAATATGTGTATGATTACATGTTTCACCTCTTGAAAGAGTATGCTAAGCTTCTAAAGTACAAGCCAAGTGTTCCTCCAAATGCAATTGAAGTTTGTTCAGAGTCAATGGCCTGCCCAGCTGATGGATTGGTGAAGAAGTATATGATGGACTCAGTTGTTACAGGTCCCTCTAATGAAGCTCCATGCACCATGCCTCCTCCTTATGGTCCTGCTACATTTCATTCAATTTTGGAGAGAAAAGAAAGCAGAATAAGGCAAGCGGAGACTTTGGAAGAACAGTACCGGAATAGTCAAAACAATCACAAGTAGTTAATACAGGCTAAGATGTTTTTCTTCTTCTGGTTTGTCATTTCCATGCAAATGTCTAAACCATATATTTCCATCTGGTTTCTCTTCCTCACTATTATTCTATTTGGGATTATTCGGGGGAATATTCATTGTAGTGGTAAAAAGTTTAAAGGAAAGGACTAATTTTACTTTATATTCCCTACATTTTCAAGGATTCTCACTTTAAACTCTCGATGTTAATTTTGGACAAACTGTACCTAATATTTTCGTATCCGTCGTATTTAGTCCAATAATGGCGAATCATTATGTAAAAAATTAACCGATTTTATACACGTATAAACCAAAAACTTTTCATATTTTTCGTACATTATTAATTTAGGATCCATGTACAAATTTGAGTTGCTAGTGTACAGGATTGAGTTGCTAGCTTAATTTTACCATAGGGTATAGAAGCCAAGCATGTCTTGAAAATGTTTAAACGAGTTTGAGATCAAATTCAAGTACATACATTTTTTGTGGAACTAATCTTTGAACATAGCAGTATTGTAGCTCGATTTCCCATGAATACATTCCTTTCCATTTCTAGTATAGGTCAAGGTATAGCCTTACTTAACTCCACCAATACATATATATATACACACATAATTATAATTATACACACCTAGTGTATTTATGTATATATTTTCAATTGGAAAAATGACCGATTTCATCCCTCACATTTCGTAAAAAATTCTTTTCGTCCCTCACAATTAAAATGAAACAAATTGGTCAAATCCAAGCTTTTATATCCTAAAAATCAACTCTCAGTTTTGAATCAAACCATCTAACAACCTGGTTACAAATTTTAGGGGTAGAATTGGTAGATCACTAGCAAAAATATATTTCTAACAACTCAATTAAACAATTAAAAAGTTTTAATTAAAACCCATTTGCTTCTACATTGAACTCCTTCAGTGATTCCATTTCACTAGCAAATCTGCTTTCATAGGAAGCTCTTGCAGCAGACCATATTCTATCTTTTAATGCAAGTCCAGGATGCTCTTTCTTGAAGTTATTATACATGTGTCTCACACACATGGGTGTTTCACACCAGGCAGTAGCTCATGTATTGCTTGAAAATGGATCTTATGTATTTCCACCAGATGATGCTTCAACTGCACCTTCTCCTTTTTATCCAACTATTTTTGGTCCCACGCCAATGCAGGAAACAGCTCCCTCTTCGGCGCCATTGACTAGAGTTCATCCCCATCTCAACGTCGGCTGCCACTCTCCTTGTCTTGTGTGTGAGTGTGATTGCCATCAGCAGCATTTGAATGATCTGAATCTGACCAAGAGACATTTTTAATGGTTTGAAAGAGGATACAATCTTCCAAATCTCTGGAAGTTTAGTTGTTCGGATTATTTCTGCATATATAGTTTTGAATTAGGCAAATTGATTTGGGTTTGTCTTCTTCTATTCTCTTTTGAAGAAGCAAATGGGTTTTAATTAAGATTTTTTAATTTATTTGTTGGAAATATATTTTTGCTAGTGATCTACCAATTCAACCCCTAAAATTTGTAACCAGGTTGTTAGATGATTTTATTCACAATTGAGAGTTGATTTCTAGGATGTAAAAGCTTGGATTTTAAAATGTGAAGGACTAATTTGTTTCGTTTTAAATGTGAGGGACGAAAAAAAATTTTTTACGAAATGTGAGGGATGAAACATGTCGTTTTCCCTTTTCAATTTAACTATACTTATTCGAAATGTTAAAACCTGAACTGCCTCTTAAGGAGTCCTCGTTGCCCACCCATTAGCGAAACCAATTTATTATTACAACTATTAAATGTGAAAGAAAAATATATAATAAATGGAATAAATGAGTAAGGTGTGAGATGCAAGTTGGGAAAAGAACAAACTTCACTTTAATGTTGCCATCATTTAGAATCTAACTTTTGACCTACAGTTTTTTTTTTCTTCAAACATTTTTTATGGATGAAAAATTTTCCCTTATGCTATAAATCATGAAGATTTTTTTTGGGTGCAAATCAATTAAAGGTGAAATTGTGACCTGATTAATAATCATCAATTGAAATTTGTGACACGTGGCATCATACAAAAAATTAAAATTAGTTTTTGATGTTTTTTAAACCTTCACCCGGAAATATGCAACTACCAACTCAAAACAAAAATTTTCGTTGAAATGGAATTTCTATTGGGAAGGATGAAATAGAGAAGAAAGAGAAAAAGAAATAAAAGAAAAGAAAACAATTTCATCTTATGATATTTTCTTGAGAATAAAATGAGAAACTAGAAAGAAAAGACGAAAACCCAAAATTAAAAGAATTGAAAGGCTAAAAAAATTGTATTTTAGGAAAGTGAGTTGAATATTTTTTTTAATCATTTAAGGAGAAGATTGATCTCTGCAATTCTTCTTTTTTAATTTCAATCATTAAGGTGAAGATTTTTGTGGGAAAGAGGAAGAATTAAATAAAGAAGAAAGAGAAAAAGAAATAAAAGAAAGGAAAACAAGGTAAATGAAAAGTCAAAATAATGTAAGGGTAATTTTGTCCTAAAGGGGGTTAAGTGAGCAAAATTAAAGGTTAGGGAGTAAACTGAGAAATGAGATATTTTTTAAGGGGATAAAATGTGATTAACCCTTGTCTAACGGAAATGTCACAAAGACATTGATACCCCTAAGGGTTAATCACAATAAATCCCCTTAAGGCATAGCCATTTTGCACTTTGCCATCTAACATCATTTTCTTTTAATTTGTCTATTTATCCCTAAAATCATTAGTCAACTCTAATATTTTGTATCACTATAGATAAATAATGTTTAAAAAAATTAATATACCTACCATAATAATAAAAATTAGAGAAAAATGCAGTTTTGATACCTAAACTTGACACATGAGCGATTTTATTCTCCAAATTTTGGACAAAAACAAATGTGGTACCTGAACTTTCAAATTTTGAGCATATTAAGTACCCTTGACAATTTTTTCCCAAATTGCTACCGGAAAAAGTCATGTGATAGTCACCTGTCCGGCCACTATTGTAAAAAAAAAAGGCCAAAAAAAGTTCAAATGCCATTCTAATACTAAGTATTAAGTTTAAGGACTAATAACGTAATAAAGAAAAAATCCAAGCATCACATAGCATCTGTTTCGTCTCTCTTGCTTCGCTCTCCAATAAGAAACCCAGGAACCGACAGAAATCTCATCTTTGCCAAGACTTCGAAAAAGAAGAAATGGGTATTGATTTGAAAGCCGGCGGCAAAGTTAAGAAGACTAAGCGTACCGCCTCCAAATCTGATGACATCTACCTCAAGCTCCTTGTCAAGTTGTAGCGATTTTTGGTGAGGAGGACAGGGAGCAGGTTCAATGCTGTGCTGCTGAAGAGGTTGTTCATGAGTAAGATAGATAAGCCTCCTCTGTCACTCTCCAGGCTTGTCAAGTTCATGGAAGGAAAGGAGGACAAAATTGCAGTGCTTGTTGGAACCATATGTTAGGTCCAAGGGTAGGAAATTTGAGACAGCTAGGGGAAGAAGAAATAGCAGAGGCTTTAGAGTTTGAAGGGGTATGTCTCCTTGTTTTGGTGGTGCTATCTATAGCCGAACTGGCAATTTTTGCGAGACAATTTTGTCATACTTCATGTTTTGGAAACAATCAGTTAGCTTTTGTGTTGTTACCTTATTGTTGAATTAGAAATTCTGAACATGCGTCAATGTTTTCTTTTTTCTTTAATCCCATTCTTGTTTTCTAGCATCCACCTCAACCAAGCAATAGAGAACAAAAACGGCACACTTAAAATTCCTTTGTGCTGTGATGGAGTTTCACGCCTTGCTAAAAGATTTGTTTAGCCACTGCATGGAAATTGTTATCAATGTTGAAGTGAGTTGAATTGGCATGATCCAGAGAAGTTAAGTGCGGTGAAAATGAAGAGATACTGGATTTGGGAATTCTGCTGCATGTTGGCATATCGTCGGCTGCAAGACTGATTTTTGGAGCCAACTTGACTTTTGTTGAAGTTCGGTTTCTGGGTTTCTTATTGGAGAGCGAAGCAAGAGAGACGAAACAGATGCTATGTGATGCTTTCTTCTTCTTTTATTTTTAAATTGACACGTGTGATCTTATTTAGTCCTTGGATTTTTTCTTTATTATGTTATTAGTCGTTAAACTTAATACTTAATATTACAATGGCATTTGACATTTTTTTAGCCTTTTTTTATACAATAGTGGCTGGACACGTGTCACATGATTTTTTCCGGTAGTAATTTTTGGAAAAAATCATCAAGCGTACTTACTGTGCTCAAAATTTGAAAGTTCGGGTGCCACATTTATTTTTGTCCAAAATTTGGGGACTAAAACCGCTCATGTGTCAAAGTTTAGATACCAAAACTGTATTTTTCTCTAAAAATTATTATATGTTTATGACTATAGGTCCTGTTAAAATTTATCCCCATAATTACATGTTTTCTAGATAAAGAAAGATATCTCGCTTATCTCACGTAATAAGGGAAAAATATTAGTGCATAACTAAACTATGAAAATATTATTAAAGGTCTATAGATGGATTTGTTTGGGTTGGAGATTATCTGGAAATTTTTGCTTAGAATAATTGCACTTTTTGCAATTTGATATTTGTGAGATAAAAAAGTGATTGAAATAAAAATAAAAAAGATGGTCAATAAACATGTTGAGATGCAATAAAAAAATTTTCAGAAAAATTTAGCAATCCAAATAAATTTTAATAGCATCTAAGCATGGTGTATTAAAAGAATAACTCTGAAAATTTTGAACTTCAAATCAACCATGTTTATCTTTTTTTAGTAGTACTAACAAAAATAAGAGTATGCTTCTTTATAAAAAAAATTAGCTACCAAAAGAAAAACTTAGCCGTATGCACATTCCTAAAGAGAAATTGACAATATTCTGATCATTTTTAAACTTTTAAAAGTATTTTCACATTTTAATTTGTAATAACAAATTTTTTTCCCATTAGTACGTCAAATTAGCTAGACATTCTCCTCAATCTGAAGAAAAGTGAATTTATGGAATAAAATTTAACTAGGATCATATATATAAAATTATTATTTTTTTATCATCGTGTTAAGCGTATTATTTTTAAGACATCAATTGTCCCGAGTGTTATCAAATATTGAGG